CGTAGCACCCAACGCTCCATTACGAACTATTCACGCGCCCGTACTCAAGAACGACCACCACAGTCTATTCCATTCGCTGCAAGAGACATGAAAGCCGCTTTGCAACTCGATTTCATCATAATAGGCGCAGGTTCGTTATCTCGGCCTTCCTAGCAACTCACCTTGCTCACCGTCGCCGCTACCCCAGGTGTCAGTGGGCTTGCCACCGCATTTGCCCTCGCACAAAGTGGCCACCGCGTCCGCATCTACGAAAAGCGCAAAGCTATTCATAACGTGCGCCGCCGTCCTTTTCCCATATCCCTTCACGCCGCTAATCCTTCAGGAAAAGAGGGCCGTTGGTGTCCGTGTTCCTCCAAACATGTCCAAGATCCTCTACGACTGGGGTCTCCATGACCAATTATCCGCAGCTCTCAAGTGCCGCAAGAGCGCATTTCACTCAAGTGCGTTGCCCACTTCTTTTTTTCTCTGTTCCAGCCGTCTCGACAACATGCCATCCATCAATCATTTTGCATCCGTCCATTTACTTTTTGACCCCATTTATCAAACGGTCCGGCCTCCCGCAAATCGACGCTGACGACGATCTTTTCTTCTCTGGGTTTTCGCAGTCGAGGACAACCAAGTCGTGGGCTTTCTGGAATGGCAGGAAGACGTTATCAAAGAGACGGGTGGCGATTTCCTCCTCATGCACGCAAGTTCTGTATCTCCTCCGGGTCCGAAAAATGAACTGACATCGACTTTTCCTCAGCATCATGACCTCTGTCAAATGCTGTACAATCTGGCTGTTTCTGCGGGCGTTACAGTCACCTTCGACGCGAAAATAGAGTCGGTTTCCTTCGACAGCGAAAAGAGCCTCCCCGTCGCGCTCCTCGAAGATGGCACCGTCCTCGCAGCAGATCTCATCGTCGGCGCGGACGGCTACCACTCCATCGTGCGCGAGACGGTGACAGGGCTACCGGATAATGGGGTTCCGAGCGGTAACACATACCTGTCGTAAGTCGCAATTTTCCTTTTCGTGCCCCCCTCCTTTTTTTATTCAGGAACACCACTGCAGGATCATCGTGCCGGCGGAAATCATGAAGCAGGATCCGGATTGGGCCCAGTGGCTCGACAAGCAGGAGGTGCGTCTCGGTTGTTCGTCAGGCGTCTCTGTGCCTTGGACGCACCTTGCTAACCACCAGCACAGTGGCCGATGTGGATGGGCGATAGCAGGGTGGTCCTAGGTAAATCTCCGTCTCCCCGCGTTTTCAGCCTGCCAAGGTCTAAATTTACGTGATGATGCATATTCCAGGGTATCCAGTGGTAAGCAGCCCTCATTCTCGCCGTCTCTGCAAGGTCTTTTTTCTTAATTCGTACCCCTGCAGAGAGGAGGCAAGGAGTACTGCATCCACGCCTACTGGCCAGAGAAGGACATCATGGGCCCTGACGCCCCCGAGAGCTGGGACGCCGTCTGTCCTACACGCCTTCTCAACACCGACGGCTGCCACCCCAGGTGTGCTCTTGCTATATGCAGTTATCTTTCCCTTTGTTCTGCTGCATTGCTGACATGCTGCGATCCATCCATAGCATCGGACGCATCTTCACCTCGGTTCCAGAAGCGTTGCGGACCAAGTTCGTCGTGCGCGAAGCTCTGGACGACTGGGTCGACGAATCGGGCACGATACTGCTGATTGGCGAGGCGGCACATGCGCTCATGGTGCGTCGCGCTGATAAACCGTTTATCCCACTAACCGACCTCCTTCAGCCTTTCACCATCCACAACGCCAGCCTCGCAGTCGAAGACGCCGCGGTGCTCGGCGTGCTTTTCTCGCATCTGCGGTCGCGGGAGCAGATCGCGCAGATCCTGGAGGCTTATCAAGAACTGCGTATCCCGCGCGTGAAGCACGTACACGAGTCCGAGATGAGCAACGCCGCGCTCGTCAGCCTGCCCCCAGGCGAGATGCGGGAGATGCGCAACGCGGCGATGGGCAAGTCCCTCGCGCCCACGACGAGCCAGTGGGACGACGACCAGCTACGGGAGCAGTGGGACGAGATTGGCGGGGTGTTTGGGTACAACGGCATGGACGCGGCAGAGGACTGGTGGATGAAGTGGGGCGCGCTGGGCGATTCGCACCGCGCGCACCACCAGTCGATGGATTTTACGTTCCAAGTGACCCAGGTCGCGGTGTCGGAGCTCTGATGCAGCTTGTAATGTCGTTCACTGTTCATCATGTCACATCTTACATCTATACCTTGCATATATACCTCCTAGGATCTCATATGTTATGACACACTATATTTTTTGGGCCGGAATGAATTATGCAAATAGACGGAGTACACGAGACACGGTACAGATTGCGAGTTAAGACGACTGAGCACGAAAGCGAATGAGAAAAGGATGCAGTATTAGATGTAGTATTCAGGTTTGCGAGAGTTGATGCCATATTCCGCCAAAGCCGCACTGAGATCGTCCATCGTCAAGGTCGTCCGTGTTTTGTCCTGTGCACCTTCATTACGACCACGTTGCACTGAAGTACAAACAGACGCACCTTTGCAGAACCTGGACCCGACAATGGCTGGTTGACGCGTGCCCGACCCCCAGTGGCATTGGTGCGAATACGGGCATGCTGGTACGCGTCTGCAGCAATATCCGACACAAACTTCTGCGCCGCAAGCGAGAGCAAGCGTTTCCTGTATCATAAGACACACCCTATCAGCCGAGGACAGAAGGCCTCCTTGAAGAAGCGGCACGCACAATCGCACATCCTCGCACTCAAATCCGACGCGTTGGAGGTAGTAATCGGTCACCTCGTTGGGTATCTTCGGGGCTTCTCAGACTAACACGAGGCCAGACGACGGGGATACACACCAGGGGCTCGTAGTCATCCAACATAAGCATGAACTCGGCGAGGGTCCGGTCTTTGCGCGCTTCCTCTGCGGCCTGGCGAGATTGGGTGGCTGGTGCTGGCTGTGTCGACGAGGAGGAGGCGGCTGCAGCCGCTGGAGTTTGTGTTGACTGAGACGCCTCTGCTGGGGCTGCGGGGTATGGCGACGAGACGGGGTACGCGAACTGCTGCTGAGAACTCGACATGATCGTCCTTTCTGCTCTTCGAAGCGGACGTCACAGTTGGTTCCGTCAGCACAGGCGGAGTTGGCGGAGTTTCAAGTTTGACTATATAGCCCCGCCTCTTTTTCTTCTTCTGTACGCGTTCTGGTCATCGTCGTCCCCACATCTGTGAGTGTTTTCCCTTTGTTTCGCGTAGTCTCACTCCTATATTCCGTCGACATGATGTTTGAGGCATTTGGCTTTACGCAGGAGCGCACCCTGCACTGCAGAAAATCAACTCAGCTACCTTCGGAAGGGCTGCTTTGGTGGTCCTCTCCGTTTTTCTGATTTTTCGTTTCTTGTTCGGATCATCCATTCTGAATTGTATGCTCATTTTTCTTCTTCCAGTGCATGCTTCGACGATCGCCTGCGGTGGAAAGGGTTTAGACTTTAATTGTAGTGTATAGGACCCTCTAAATGCTATATTCATATTGTCAATCCATCTCGGTCCCTTTCATTTGAGAACGTCGTGCTGCTGCTGCAAGTTGACGTTGGTCCTCCCGCCTCTGATGATCTTCTTGTCTTGGGCTGCTGATCCTGGCGATGGCCGTCCCGATATACCTTGGGCATGTTCTCGTCCTATTCCGTTGCTAATCTCGAGTTGGAGAAACAAGACATAATGACCCGATCAAGAATGGCATAAATCCCCGCTAATACGTCCCTACCCAAAGCAACAATTAACGGTATAAATCTCTTTTACCTCCATCATTCCATGTCCCCTCCTTGCTCCTCCAGAACTCCCTCGTTCCATCCAATCCCGACATACTAGGACTATTTGGATAGGACCCATCGCAACCGCTATCGTCGATGAACACGGGAAGCAAAAATAGGTCAGGGGAACCCTCCGGCTCGCGGCGTCCTGGGTTGTCTTGTGCGGAATGTCGCAGGTGCGTCAATCGAACGACTATCTCGCCTCCCGGAGCCTAAACGCTTCCTAGGTCGAAGCTGAAATGCGACAGGTACGAACGCTTTTTCTACAGCAATCACAGGCGCCAGTTGACGAAATACAGATCTTTTCCATGCCAAGCTTGCATCAGGTAGCGGTTCTACACTTCGCACTCGTAGAACCCCCTAATCAGCTCTTCCCTCAGACGAGGTTGTGCGAACATCTGCCCGGAAGGTTCATCTTCATCGCGAACATCTTTCATCCGATTTCTAATGATCCACTCGTCCGGCAGGAACTCTCAATGCGACGAAAGGCAACAAGTGAGCCTCTTCTACTGCTCCAACTCACCGATGTGTTCAGAAGGCGATTCTTAGGGTGTTGATGGCCCATGCTCAACGAATGACCGAGCAAATAACGACATTGAAGGCCCGGGTGGAAGAGCTTGAGGAAGCGCTTGCCAAGACTTATGATGGGGATCATCCTCTCTTACGGCGTTCTCCTCCCAGCACGACTTCTGAGAAAGACGATGACATTACGGATGCTATCGGCTCTCTCTCGATTGGTGCTCACGGCCAGTCAAAATATCACGGAGAAAGCTCAAGCTCGGAGGTACTTGATGCATGTTTTGACTTGATTTCAGCTATGGTTGACCCTCGACCTAGTATTTTCAAGATTTATTGGAGGTGTGTTTCTTTTCTATCCTGACAATGACCTTTACTCATAAATACGCAGGCCTCGGACGACGAAGAGCCCGTTGGGCATCCAAATCCCTACGACTTACGAGACGAGATTGTCCACCTCGTCGACGCATTTCCTTTTGGCCTCAAAGAGCATCGGTACAATAAAGAATTGTTCCGACCCTATATCCCTCCCCGGAGCACGGCAATGGAGTTCGTCAATCTCTACTACAGCGACGCTGCTTGGATGCAAGTCTTCATGATAATTCCCACAATATACTTTCTCATCGATTCGGCAGGTACGACCCCATAATTTTGCAGGAATTCACAACGGCCATCCTGGATCCCATGTACGGGAGTGGAAATGTCCCCTCAGTAGAAGGCATACATCCCCATGAACTCGCTGTGTTCTTCATCATCCTTGCCACCGGCCTTCTCTCCCATCCTGGCTCCTCAATGCTATCGGGGAAATACCACGCACTATCTCGAGCGGCGCTGTCCCTAGAGCCCATCGCAGTCGAAGCCACCTGTTCAGCGATACAGGCCATCTTCTTGACGTTTCGCTATCTTTACAATGCAGACCGCTCCTACAACGAAGAACGCTGGTTGTTAACTGGAGTTTGTGTCAGGTTGGCGCAAGCTGTGAGTGTCGAATAGCTCGGCGGTGCTCACTACAGTCTAACATACCTATTTCCAGCTTGGCCTGCGTGCGCATCTTCATTTCGTGAATCTATGCCCATTCACTGATGCACTGCGTAGAAAGGGATGGTTCCAATTGGGATTTATCGCATGAAGAGATACAAAGACGACGGAGGGTGCGTTATGGACGCCACGAAAAACTTCATGCTCTTATGTACAGCTAGATATTCTGGGAGCTCTTCGTCTGGGACGCATGGGGCGTAAGTCGCGTGCCAGCTTCCTGGATTCAGCATATTTTGACGCTTTCCACCTCCAGAGCCTCGTGAATGGTCGCCCGCCCGCTCTTGCTTTGCGTCAAACGGATTGTCTCTATGCGGACGAAGTAAACCCGTACATCAATGCAGACGGCAAGCCCGAGTTCAGCTGTACGTGGCCTCAATCTTGCTGAGAATGCACTCTGAGTGGAATTTAGGGAACACTTGGAAGCAACGATATGCGGCAACCTGCATGAAGGCTTCAGCAGATCATGTTTTCAGCCTCTTTGGACCTTCATATAATGCCCTTCTCGAACTCGACAAGAAAATTCGCAATTTCATCGTTCCTGACTATCTCCACGCCCCAATCGACAATGTCCACCTACCTCTATCCTGGTCTCAAAACCCACACATCGCAATACAGCAGTATTGCATTATGTCCGTGCAGGAATCAAGTCAGTCGGTCTCCACAATGGTTATACCTACGTCGTCTAATCCTGCTCCAAGATCTCCTCTATGTGCATCGAAGTTATTTCGCTCAAGCCATCCGCCAGATGCCCAAGAACCCGCTCCTTCATAAATATGCTACGTCTGTAATGTCCACGTTTCGAAGTGCTCGACGTGTCATTGCTGGACTTCGTGGAGTGTACCCTATCAGTCCTAGAGTTGTGAGCTGCAATTGGTTCTTCTGGTCATGTACATTCTCTGCTTGCGTATGTCCCCCTTAGCCCTGCCTTCAGGTCTTAGGTTGTAGGCTAACGTTTCCTTATCTCACTAGGTCGTGTTAGGCGCGTTGGTGGTCGAGAGCCCGGGGTGTTCTTTAGCTGCAGATGCTATGCGCGATCTCAAGGAGACCGTGCCATTCTACGAAGAAGGGTCGCAACCAGGAGCCCAAGCAAGCGTTGTAAGATCTACCGTTATAAAACTTGCCTTCCTTCGAAAGTTTAAATAAAGCCTGTCTTCTAGACCATGCTCAAGAAACTGTGCTCCAGGGCCTCTGCGGCCTTCGAATCCTTCCGAAAAGGCAACGATGTCGAACACCACAGTAACCCTGCAGCAGTGGTCGATGACCTCGAAGTCCTCAGCGGACGAAAGACCGTGATTACCACAAGTGCAAGATCTTCTGCATCGCCAACCATCAGTTCCACTGCGGCGATACCCGTAGAAGCCACTTTGGCACGCACAGCAGAAGCTGGCCTCTCTCAGCCTGGCCCTTCGAAATCCATGGATACGTTTTACGACCCTGTCGAATCACACCCTAACATGAGCGGATTTCAAGCTTATTCGATGCATGAAGGCGAGCGTTTCCCCGGCCCAGCATACCCGCCAACGAAAGATCCTACGGAAGGACCTATGCCAATGCTGTCAAGATATGTCCAAGGAAATATGAATTATTTCGAGCCGATGTATTTGAGTGGCCAATCCAATACCAGCGGCCTAACCATGCCGAATATGCCCGAACACTTTTCGACTACTGCTGAACAGCAACCTAGTCAACCTTACGACGGCTCATGGCACCCGCCGTCATCTCTGGGAGGACCACAACAGGGTACTCAAGGCGATGGCCGGCAGAATATGCATTTCACACAAGAACACAATCAAGCGGATGTCTGGAGGAATTTTATTGGGCAATATGGGGCGAAATAAATCAATGAAACTATGTAGATCCTATTACTTTACTTTTATGACACCTGATCGTACAGTAGTGTATGTTGTCTTACGACTGATCCATTGTCAGCAAGCTTTCCTCTCCTTCGATCGAAAGAGCTGTAGTCTCTTCGCTCTCTAGTGCTTCCAACAGCGCGTCTACGTTTGGAGAAACAATGAATTGCTTGTTGACCTCTCCTAGCACCACAAGTTGCTTTTGAACAGTGTCAAGGTACACAGCTTGTTGGAGGAACGATGGTTGAGTGGCTGCGTTGACCTGAGCTACAACTGTCAGACCTCACAAGACCCACAGAGTTTGCTTGGAATCCATACATCAAGGAGGACACCATTTGCAAACCGGATCTTGACGGCACCGCTTCGATAGACTTCAAGTTGTCCAACAAGTCCGTCAATAGGATCAGATTTCTTAACCTCTGACGGCGCTGAGGATGCTGTTCTCGAGGATATACCATCCATATCCGGTTTGACATCAGGCGCAAAAGAAACCTTCTTCGTTGTGGGATCGGGTGGTGGTTCAACATTCATTGCAGAGGCCTTTTTTGATCGAAATGTGGGGAAAGGAATAGGAAACTGGAATAAATATAGACGGTCTTCTCGCATTGACTCGTCCTAGCACAAATTCTTAGAAGAGAGTTCGGAAAAATCAGTGAAAACTCACCGTGACCATGTCGGCCTGAGTTGCGAAATCTTCAATGATGTCTTCGAGTTCCTCTTCGTCATCGCTTTCGCTGAGGTCCAGCGCATCAAGAAAGTTCGTAGTGTCTCCTATTGGCTGCCTTTAGAACACATCCAAGTCGAAGAGGATAAAGAAAAATACACACCAGCCTCGTCTGGACCTTCTTCTTTCTTGCCCTTCTTCGTAGTTTGTCGTTCCTTTCGTAGACTTTCGGGAGCCATCCAGTCCATCTGCCGCACATTTTCCATATCTATAATCTCGACTCCCTCATCGGGATCCGAGTAGACCTCTTCATCTTCCACCTTGACGGCGGATTTGGCTTTTCCGGCCTCTCTCTTGAGGGACGGAGGGGCCATTTGAGAAAGATTTACGCCAATGTTCGATGTGGACGCATCAGCAGATGTGCTCGACACGATGTTGGAAGGCAGAGCGGATCTTCGAGCACTGCTGCTAGCCTGGGTAGGACCCATAGCGAAAGGACCGCTGGCAGTCATTTCTACGATAGGTGGGGCGCCACGACCGCGACCGCGCCCTCGTGCATCTCCATTGCCTCGCCCCCGAGCGTGCCCACGATCTGCCTGGGAGGGGGAAGGGATAACCGCGGGGGCAGGTTCCTATAGAATATGATTCGGATATTCTGACGCGACGTAAAGTGGGAGACACTGACTGGCTTGACTTCACTATTATTCTATGAGCAAATGAAGGTCGATGATTTGAGCAGACGGGGCTCACTCTTTCTTCCGTCTCTGAGGAAGCGTTGGGACGAATTTGAGCTTTTGGGTCCCTTGGCGCGTTACATCTGGCTGTCTCTTCGCAAGACTACCGATTGCCTTGGAGGTGGATGGATCTGTGGAGGGTGTAAGTCTAGCAGTCTGGGCAGAGTGGTTGGCGCTGACCAGACATGTTTGAGGTGAAGGCACAAGTCACATGCGCGTTCCCTCTTGATCTTTATCGTCCACCATGGCCGACTCCGTCCAGCACTGGCGCGTCTCCTACAACGACATCCACAACCTCATCCGCAAATCAACCCCAACAATTGCTGCCCAGTTCAACCCGGACCTCTTGATCGCAATCGGTGGGCCTCTCTTTTTATTTATTTTTTTCTCGTGCTTATCTAAATACTTGTAGGCGGGGGGTTAGTCTGACTACCTCCTCATATTCGAGTCGATATTTAACTACCTTTCCAGAGGTTTCTTCCCCGCTCGGGTAATGGTCCGTGCCCGTGCAACGAAACCTTCATGCATCTTCACCTGCCAGTAACAGCGAACTTTCTTGCGCGAGCAAACCACTAAGAAGGCTCTCCAAATTCAAGCGATTGGGCTTTCACTTTATGAACCCGTCGAGGGAACATCCGAGGAGACACTTGGAAGCGAGGTCATCCGGACACAGTGGCTGTATGATTTACTTTCTCTCCTCATGAAGCATCGTTTTGACCTCCTCCTATCAGAGGCCCTGAATCCGGAAAACTTCTCCTCGGGAAACGTAACCTCATCGTTGTGAGCTCGTGTTGTCTGTGTGCTCTTTGACAGGCCTAATATCACTTAGGACGAGGTCGATGACACCCGCAAAACCCTTCAGTAAGTCGAGAAAGTGATCTTCCATTACGACGCAGCTCACGACGACCAATCCAACTAGTTACGCCCTCTCTGAACTGAAGAAAGACGTCGAGGCTGAGCTTCTTTCTTATCCCGAGGCAGAACGCGATGCATTGCGCTCCGCCACACAATTCGCTGTTTTCGTGGTTCACAATAAACTGAAACCAAAGCTCGCCGAACTACCTTCAGGGATCCTGTAATGATTTTATTCGACGTGTCAACTGGCGTACACCACTCATCGACTATTCAGTTACTTTGCAGGAGAGGAAGTTGGAGATCTCTGGTAAGTCAACCTTGAACAAAAACCCAGTCACTGGCATCTCACATTCTACCGCAGGCTCGACTATCCTTGGGAAGCGACGTAAGAGTCTCTTCTCGTGTCCTCGACAACGAGTGCTCATTTCTTCCGCTAGGGATATTGAAGCACACGATCTGCTTGCTTCCCAAGACAGAAAGTGAAATCTATGTCGTGTACACTTCGTAGGCAAACGTTTCTTCCAGTAACGACCTCATTTCTCATTGACATACTTATCCACCTAGGCTATATCTATTCAACTAGATTAAATTTCTGGAAGTCGGAGTATAGAAACTTCGCGTGACGTCGTTTGACTAGTTTTGAATTACAAAATTATTATTCAGCATCTTCGTCTACCTTTGGCACCATAAGCTGCTTTCTTAGTGAGCTAAAGTATCGATATGCTACTTTGTCTTCCATTTCGCCTGCTTTCTTTCTTGGTTTCTATGCTCTCAATTCTTGATGCTAACCTTGTCGTCCAGGTCATTCTGTGCTTGGTAATTTCGTCTCAGATGGTGGTGCGCCTCTCCTCCGAAGTGAAGACCGGGATCTAAGTGTCATTCGAACAAGACACACTTACGGACATCGGTATCTCTCATGATTGTGTCAACTGATAGAGTACTACTGATTATAATCCGATATAGCTGCCTCGTGGTTGGGCGCTTAACCTTGATCGCTACTTCTTTGAGTCGTGGGATACCAACACGTTCTTGTAACTACGGTAAGCCTACTCGTATCCCTACCTTCGACCATCATGGAGCGCAGCAATCCTCGTGCCCAAAAGTTACAAAGGACCTTCTATGACATCGCAGTCGGAAAGGTGGAACTCACGCCTTACAATGCTTCACTTTTCTTGGAGGCAGTCACAAGTTTTCCGGATCCTGCCGTCTGCGTCGACAAGCTAATGGCCAACAAGTGCGGCCTCAGCGCCCTCCAACAGGCGATGAGGTGCAGATTGAATACAGTATTCTTCAACAAAGAGGCGGCCGACGTATTGACCTATTTCCAAGCTCCTGCCCTCAAGAACATCAACTCGGGCCAATATCTGAACGACATCGTGTACAAAATCGCCTATCCCCCAATGTTTTGGGATCCATTCCGCCAGGCATTCCTCGAAGGTGTCCTTGACGATAAGGCGCAAATCGCAGCAGGGTGGTTCTTACTCACTCTCTGTTGTCTTCCGAATCCTTCCTCCGCTCCATACCGCAATCATCAAGAAACACCCCAGGTGTTAGCAAAACTCTTATCGTCTCCCTCTGCCCCAATCAGAAATATTGGCCAAAAGCTCAAGCACGTCCTGGGAACCTGCATGCCTGCAAGTGCGGCAGTGGCCACAGATGGACCAGGACCAGGCGGGAGGCACGACAACGATTTCGAAGATTTCCGCGAGATTTCCATCCTCCCAACTGCAGACGAAATAGCTTCCTCAGAATCCCCATTTTTGCGACAGTCCGACGTTCTGGAGGACCCGCAAACAGAGGGTGGACGGGTCGCTCTTCATTATGATAACCAGTTTCGTCTTCTGAGAGAAGATATGCTGTACGAAATGCGCGAAGAGCTGCAAAAATTCTTTGGGAAAAAGAAGGGGTACCACCGAGGCGTGAAGATTACTGATCTTTTTGTAGAAGGGATTGATTGTGGAGAGGAAAGCAAACGCACAAAGTGGAGCTTGAGCCTGAAGTGTGCGGCTGATATTCCAGTACTCGATAGGCAAGGTACCGTTGCCAGTCGCAAAGAATTCCTAGACGACCACCGGAACTTCCTGAAACACCAGTCGGTATCGTGTCTCCTGTCTGGTACGGAGATTATTGCATTTCCCACCATTATCCGTGACCGGGATCGACTAGCGAAAATACCACCGGAAATCGTCCTCCAGTTCGACCGTCCTGAAAGCGTTGGGAAGGCCCTAATGAAACTGAAAACGGATGCGAATGTCATGCTCATTCAAATTGATACAGCGATATTCTCCTTTGAACCAGTTCTCAGGCGCTTGCAGGCTGCCAATACTCTACCTTTGTCATCTGAACTCCTTCTCTGGAAACGAGGTATCCCGGTTTCCAAGACCTCCTGTCAAGCAATGACGATTGTCGATGCTCTTCACCGTGATCCTAATTATGACCTTCAGAATCTATTGGGCACCCCGAAGAGCATCAAACTAGATGCCTCTCAAGCAGCAGCTCTAGTGACGGGGTTGACGCAGGAAGTATCTTTACTTCAAGGACCCCCCGGTATGAGAATGCTTGGCTTTCAACCGCCTTTAATATTAACTCGCAAGGTATTTTGACAGGAACTGGCAAATCTTTCATTGGTGCTCTGCTCGCGAAAGCATTATACAGACACACTCCACAAACAATCCTTGTCGTTTGCTATACGAACCATGCTCTGGATGACATCTTGACACACCTGCTCAATATTGGCATCCCAGAAGAGGATATGCTACGTCTTGGCGGAAAGTCGACAACTGTCACGGAACCTCTTACTAAGCAAAATCAAAAGCGCATTGGATCTAGAAGCCGTGACCAATGGATGATCATTGATTCCTTGAAATACACGTCCGAGCAACTCTGCAATCAACTTGATAAAGCTTTCAAGAAGTACAACGCCCCTCGTATCCACTATCGCGATATCCTCGTCCATCTGGAATTTGAGAGTCCTGCCTACTTTGCTGCGTTTTCTGTCCCAGATCCTGAGGATGGTATGACAATGGTTGATCGAACTGGTCGGGAAATAAAACCCTACTATCTCATCGATCGCTGGAGGAAGAATCAGGATGCTGGCGTCTTCTCTGGCAACACCGCAGATCCAGAAATTCAACAGGTCTGGAGAACACCAGCACAGCAACGCAGGGCCATGTGGCGAAATTGGGAGGAGGCCATTTTGCAAGAGTCAATCGTCGAGTTTTCCACCATTGCTAGTGAATACGATGAAAACCAAGAAAGATTGTCTCGAGCGCTGAGTACTGATTTGGTACAGCTTCTCAAGTCCAAACGTGTTGTTGGCTGCACCACCACCGCTGCTGCAAAGTACTGTGACGACATCTCTACTTTTAACCCTGATGTTCTCCTTGTAGAAGAAGCGGGAGAAATTCTGGAAAGCCATGTTCTTACATCTTTGGGGCCCGAAACCTCTCAAATCATCTTGATAGGAGATCACAAGTATATATTTGAGCACTTCCATGTTTATGTTCAAAACTAACGCCTGGCCTTTTAGGCAATTGCGACCCAAAGTCAACAATTATCTTCTGACTGTCGAAAGAGGAGAAGGCTACGATCTCAATCGGTCCCTTTTCGAGCGGCTTATATTGAAGGGTTATCCGCATGAAACTTTGGCCAAGCAGCATAGAATGCGACCTGAGATCTCGTCGCTCATCCGGACCTTGACTTACCCCGAGTTGCTTGATGCAGACAGCACTAGAAATCACCCCAGTGTTCTCGGTTTGCAGGATAACATCATTTTCATCCACCACGAGAATCCCGAAGATGAGAACACCAGCATCTCCGACCGACGTGACGGCTCGTCCACATCCTCGAAGCACAACAAGTTCGAAATTGACATGATCCTCAAGATCGTCAAGTACCTTGGTCAGCAAGGTTATGGCACAGAAGACCTTGTAATTCTTACGCCATATCTCGGACAACTTCAGAAGCTGCGTCTTGCATTAAAGAAGGATAACGACCCTATCTTGAATGACCTTGATTCCTATGAGCTCGTCAAAGCTGGTTTGGTCAACCCCGCCGAGGCAAAATTGACGAAGAAACCAATCCGGTTGGCGACCATAGGCTAGTGTTTCAAAAATTTCATTCTGCTGTGGTTACTAATGAAGTATCACTGGTGCAGACAACTTCCAAGGGGAAGAGGCCGATATCGTAGTTGTTTCGTTGACTAGGAGCAACGACCGACACGAGATTGGTTTCCTTTCTGCTCCCGAACGTCTCAACGTCCTTCTTTCTCGCAGTCGTAATGGGCTTGTCATGATTGGAAACGCAACCACCTTCAAGAACGCTCGCAAAGGGAAAGAATTGTGGACAAAACTTTTTGATCAACTCGCCCATGGTAAGCACATCTACGACGGAGTTCCTGTTAGGTGTGAGCAGCACACCGACAAGACTGCTGTTCTCCGCCAACCTGAAGACTTCGAATTGCTATGTCCAGATGGTGGTTGCAGTGCACCATGGTATGTAACTCTGCTCTCCAGAAGTCTTGTTTTAATTCTGCTCCCTGATAGCGGGGTTTTACTATCTTGTGGAATGCATCCATGCCCCTCTAAGTGCCATCAACTTTCCGACCACTCAAAGATGACCTGCGAGGAACTAATCGTGTCTCTATGCACAAACGGCCACAAGAAATCCTCAACCTGCAGTAAAGGCATCCTGCCAAGCTGTACCAAGTGCGACCGGGACGCAGAACTCGCGAAAAAAAGGTTGAAGGAGGAAAGTCTTGCAAATGAACGACGAGAGGCAGAGCAAAGGGCTCATCTCAAAAAGATGGACGAACTAAATGCTCGTATCGATGAAGCAAAGCGCTCCCAGGAAGAGGCACGCCTTGCGAAGGAGCGAGCCAGTGCCCTTCGTCAAAAAGAAGACGACCTAGAGGCCCTCCTCTTTGCTCACGACCCTCAACGTGCAGCTGCCAGCTCTACAATCGCAGAACCTGTTGGAACCTCTTTGCAAAACTCGCAGCTGACAAGTGCTCAACCTTCGAGCCAATCCTCTCTTCTTCCAACTCCTCATATCCCCGATAATGTGCAATCGCAGCTCGATGGTAGTGATCAACCCATCGCCAATACAGCTGGTGTTCTGGATGGCTCCGTGGCACCTCTTCCGACTGTCACGCAAGCCCAGCCCTCGACAATACCCCCCAAGCCGTTCCCTCAATTACCCCTGTCCGCTGCAAAAGAAGAGTGGGAACACCAGAAAAATACACACGGCGTCACCAATGCTGCGATCGACTCCATCATGAATATGATTGGGCTGGAGGACGTGAAACGGCAAATCCTTGAAATTTTGGCAAAGATTGAGGCTTCAACGCGACAAGGTGCTTCCTTGAAGAAAGAACGGTTTAATGTTGTATTTTTGGGAAATGCTGGCACCGGTAAAATTATTCAATTCCTTTGATTGAGATTCTTGGCTTATTAGCCGTTTTCTAGGGAAAACAACAGTCGCCAGATCATATGCACAGTTCTTAGCATCCGTCAAGGCGACACCTGCAGATACCTTTGAAGAGACAACTGGTTCGCGTCTGGCTCATGAAGGTGTTGATGGCACAAAGAAACTCCTGGATGGTGTGATTAAATCTGGAGGTGGTACTATCTTCATCGATGAGGCATATCAACTCGCGAGTGGCCATAACTCTCAAGGTGCCGCTGTCCTTGATTATCTTCTTGCGGAGATGGAGAATAATGTTGGGACTGTTGTATTCATCTTGGCTGGGTACATCAAGGAGATGGAGAAATTCTTTGAGCACAATCAGGGACTGAAGAGCCGTGTTCCGCTCAAGCTGCACTTTGCTGACTACAAGGATGAAGAACTTATGGCCATCTTCCAGAGCATCCTGACAAAAACTTTCCAAGGGAGGATGAAAGTCGACGACGGGTTCCAAGGGAGGTATGCTCGAATTATGATTCGCCGTCTCGGCCGTCGCCGGGGCAGTCCAGGATTTGGAAATGCTCGAGATCTCGAAACAGCATTTGACCGAATTCGAGGGAATCAAGCAGCCCGCCTGGCAAAGATACGAAAGCAAGGTGGAAGACCAGATGACTTCTTCCTATCAGCAGAGGATCTTATTGGCCCTGATCCCTCGAAAGCCATTCAGGAGAGCGGTGCCTGGAGAGAGCTCCACAGTCTCATTGGCCTAAAGGCAGTCAAGGAATCAGTAACATCACTTTTCAACATGATCGAAGAGAACTACCGTCGGGAACTGGCAGAGAAGGAACCATTGGCAGTATCTCTCAACCGAGTCTTCTTTGGTTCACCTGGAACCGGAAAAACCACAGTTGCAAAGCTATACGGACAAATATTGGCCAATCTAGGCTTGCTGACGAGTGGAGAAGGTAAGAATGCTACAGAATTTCGTGGCCATGACTCACTCGATGTGTCAAAAAACGATTAACAGTTGTATTGAAGAGCCCATCTGACTTCATTGGCAATGTACTCGGGGCGTCTGAGTCACAGACAAAGGCAATCCTGGCCAATTGTGTTGGTAAGGTGCTGATCATCGACGAGGTATGTTGGTCGTATGGTCTGAAAGGATTGGATGAAAACTTATTTCGAATAGGCATATATGTTGTATGGAGGAGGAGGCAAGGATGGCTCTGGACTCAGCAACTCAAACCAATTCAAAACTGCCGTCGTTGATACAATTGTAGCGGAGGTGCAGAACGTACCCGGAGAAGACCGCTGCGTTCTCTTGCTGGGGTATAAGGATCAGATGTTGGAAATGTTCCAGGTCAGTTGAACTTACCCGAAAGCTCCCCCATTATTCTAACATCATTTAGAATGTGAACGAGGGTCTCAAAAGGCGGTTCGATGTCGAAAACCCGTTTTCTTTTGAAGATTTCGATGATGTGGAGCTTCTCAGGATTCTCGATCTGAAGTTAGGGAAGCAACAAGTCGGCGCCACCGACTACGCCAAAACGATTGCCATCGAGGTTCTCAGCAGAGCCCGAAACAGGCCACATTTTGGAAATGCCGGTGAAGTTGAAAATTTGTTCACCCAGGCGAAGGTCCGGTGTGTTGCACGGCGAACGACACTGCCCATCGCGGAGAGAGAAGAGGACATCATCTTCGAGCCTGAGGATTTTGATCCAGATTACAACCGCGGAGCTAACGCTTCTCTCAATCTCTCTCAGCTGTTTGAAGACGTTATTGGCTATGCCGATATTGTCGAGAGACTGGCCAACTATCAGGAAGTAGCCAGGACGTGCAAGGAAAGAAAACTGAATGCACGAGAACATATCCCTACAAATTTTGTATTCACAGGACCACCGGGTAAGTCATTTACACTTCGCGTCAAATGCCAGTCACTCACCTTGCATTCTCAGGTACAGGAAAGACAACTGTTGCGCGGAAGATGGGCCAGGTGTTCTACGATATGGGTATCCTGGCATCTGCAGAAGTCATTGAATGCTCGGCCTCGGATCTCGTCGGTCAATACATTGGTCAGACTGGCCCAAAGACCAAGAAACTGTTCGAGAAGGCACTAGGAAAGGTTCTCTTTATCGACGAAGCATATCGCCTGAGCGGTGGTCATTTCGCGCAAGAAGCAATCGACGAATTGGTTGGCCTGCTCACAAATCCGATCTATAAGTCAAGACTGATTGTCATTCTTGCTGGCTACGAGAAAGACATGAACTACCTGATGCAAGTGAACAGCGGTCTTTCAAGTCGATTCCCGGACCAAATATTTTTCCATGACATGGATGCAGACCATTGTCTACAAGTCGTCGCAAAAGAGCTGGAGAAAAAGAGCGTCAAGGTTGACGGCCTGGATGATCCGTTGTCAGTGTTCTGCCGAGACATGAAGGAGATGATTAGCGACTTGTCGGAACTCAAGGACTGGGGCAATGCAAGGGATATGATGACACTCTCAAGGGAGATCATCAGTCTCGCTCTTCGGAAAAGCGGTAATTTGGGTGCGGCCCTTGAACTTTCGCAGAGCGATGCGTTGGACGCATTAAGGAAGATCCTGGATGATAGGCGACGACGAACCAAGAATCCCACCAAAGCCCGTGATGGACCTACTGGACTACCAGTACAGGGCCAGGCACCTGATCCCCCAACCCCTCCTCCAATAGATACTGCAACCGGCGCTGACACAAATAACCAGCCACCACCTTCATCTGCATCACAGCCTGAGTCCAGGGCATCTACCCCCAACTCTCAACACAGCCGGGGTCGTGGTCGTGGTCGTGGAGTTGCTCGAGGCAATGTGCGAGGTAGGGTCGACACCTCTCGAGGCCGCGGCCGTGGTGCTGCCAGTGCTCCACCACCGAGCAGCGTCACACAAACTGCAGAGCAGGATCCTACTGAACGAGACCCTGGTGTTACTGATGCGATTTGGCGCCAGCTGACCGCGGCGAAACGAGCTGCTGACTCCGCTGGACGAATTGCTAAAACAGCCATCGATGGTCTTAAACGGAGCATGAACGCTGCCCGGAGTCGCGAAGAAAAGGAGGAAAAGTCATTTGCCGATCTGGAGGAGGCTGAAGCTGACGAGAGGGACCTTGCACGACGATCCGAGCTCCAACGTCAACGGGAAGAAGCGCGTTTGAAAGCGCACGCTGCACGCGTAGAAAGAGAAAAGGCGGCTGAAGAACTTCGAAAGAGGCGCGAGGCAGAGCAACAACGGAAGGAGCAGGAGCAGAAGGCGCAACGCAAGCTGAGAGAGATGGGAGTCTGTCCGGCAGGCTTTCGGTGGATTAGAATGGGAACATACTATCGCTGTGCTGGTGGATCGCATACGGTGTCGCTTGAACAGTTAGGATTGTAGTAGACATGGTGAGCATATCGTGAGGTAAAAGAGATTGGTTGATGGCCCGGCGAGAAGGGCTTACTAGGAATTGATTATTGAATATTGAAGTCCGACACCGCTCTCTTCCACAAACCATCACATCGCCCATAAGATCGACTATGAAGCCCTGCCCTCCAATACAGGTCTCACCAAAGATTCTCCCTTATTTGCATCCTCTAAAGATGTGCTCTACAGCGTCACCAGGTGAACTGTTACATAGCTGGTGCCCAATGGCAGGCAACCGATAAAACCCCATTGTCGGCCGAACCCCTCATTCTCATGCCGTGTAAAGCTCTGGCAGGAACGTCAACCACGATTCAAAGCGTCACGTTCGGAATCCCTTCGATGGTAAGCTCCGTGTTTCCCCCCGTGTTGTCAGCTCCCAAGCCTCCTTTCTTGTGTGAACAAACCACCGTGAAGGCACTGCAAACTCGAGCGATTGGGCTTGATCGCTTTCTGAACCTGTCAAAGGTACATCAGAGGAGACAATTGGAAGCGAGGTCCTCCGCACACAGTGCCTGTATGATCCCTTTCTCTCCACGAACCATTATTTTGACCGATTTCTGTTAGTGATCTGAGTCCGAAAAACTTCTCGGAAAACGTAACCCTATAGTTGCGAGTTTGTTTGGTCTTCGTAACCTTTAACGGTTTCTAATCGTACCCAGGATGAGGTTGATGACACTCGCAACACTCTTCAATGGGTTGACAGTCTTATCTTCTATCACACAGCACCTTACGACGAGCAATCTCGCCAATTACGCTTCATATGAACTGAAGAAGGGTGTCGAGGGTGAGCTTCTAATTCTATTACGAAGCAGAACGCGATGCGTTGCCATTGGCCACTCAATTCGCCATGCCCAATAAGCTGGAATCGAACTGGCCGAGCTTCCTCCAGGAGTCCTGTAATGATTTTCTTGAAAGCAAGTTTTTCATGTTGTCGCGACAGGTTGGACTACCCTCCGGAGGCAACGTAAGCCACATCTGCTTAATTCCCAGATTTATAGACTGATGTTCTTGAAGGGACATCGAAGAGCATGATATACTCACTTCGAAGCAACTCACAGAAATTAACCCACAGAAATCTGTCTGTGCCTGGGCTGGCTGCAATATTGTAGGTGCTATTCATGTGCGATCCTTGTGTCCTCCTATCAACTCACGCTATACTGTATCTAGATTTTGTCTATCTTAGGTAGAGCGAGCTCTTAGAGATGCTTTTGAGGTGTATCGCTACCTGTAGCCAACCTTTGTGCATTTTGCGTCAAAATGTTATCCTTTTGTCTTCTCTGTGTGCAGGGCTTTTGCAAATAAGGAATCCAGGACATAACCTGATTTTCCGCATAAGCTCCTTCCATTCTCCATTCAACTCCTCGATGCTGACATTTCTGTCCAGTTCCATCGTCTCACCTCGTGTACGGGCGCTTATTTCTCGAACCGTGGGTACCTGTCCCCAACTTATGATCCGACACCGACGATAAGAACTTTCTCTCTCACTCCCTCAGCAATGGACCCTCCGTCTCAAGATCCTCGTCGGAAGGCCCGACTAACGAATCTATTTAACTCGATCCTCCATTCGGAGACGGCCATATCGCCCTCGAATGGTGCCCGTTTTTTGGAATCAATCTATTCTCAAGATGATCCTTCAGTGTGTATGGGGAGAGTGGTAGGCAGTCCCGCTGGGTTTTCCGCCCTTCAAAGTGCTATCCGATATGATCTTTCATCCACATTTCTCAACACACATGCATCATTTATTCTTCAGTACCTCCAGCATCCTGACATCAAAGCTATCAACAACGGCATGCTGCTCGAAGATGTGCTCATCAAACTCGTTGAGCCGCCGATATTTTGGATAGAATTTCGACAGGCCTTTCTGAAAGGCGATCTCGACGAGAATGCGACGACAGCTTTCGCCTGGTTGCTGTTGCAACTCTGCATGTTACCCGAGAAAGCTTCAACCTATCAGAAGGATCCGGAAATGGCATCATTCCAAAAGCGGTTCCTGTCCTCTCCTGTGCCGAAGTTGAAGTCCTTTGGCCTCAAGATCAAAGACATCCTTGACACTTGCGGCACAGAAATCCACAGTGGGCATCCTCTGGTTAGCGCCGGTCCAGGAGGCCGACATGATAACGACTTCGTGGATTTCAGACGCATAGCGATCCTACCGACTTGGGAGGAAATGGAATGCAAAACTCCACCGTTTTTACAACTTGCGAGTGTGTTAGAGGATCCGGAAACGGAAGAATTTCGTGTGGCAATCCATCTAGATAACCAATTTCGCCTCCTCCGGGAGGATATGATCCACGAGATGCGAGAGGAAGTGGCAATCGCAACTGGAAAGAAGAAAGGGTATCATAGGGGTGTAAAAGTTCAAGGGTTGGAACTCAAGGGTGTCGAGTGTGATAAGAAGGATAGACCGGACAAGAAAGTCAGACCGGACCAGAAGGCCAGACCGGACAAGTGGGGGTTGGTTTGCATTTGCAAGGAGGACTTTCCGCAGCTGGCAAAAATCGAGGGAACTCATAAACGCAAGGAATTTCTCACTGAAAAGCCAAATTTCTTCAAGCACCAATCGCTTGCTTGTCTGCTAGCTGGGAAGGAAGTGGTAGCATTTCCTTCCATCAGCCGCGACGAGGACCGTTTGGCCAAGAGTCCACCCGAGATCATCCTGCAATTTGAGGAGGCGGAGAGCACTAAACGGGCTCTGCTCAAATTCAAGATGGAGGATGATGTCGCCCTTGTCCAAATTAACACCGCTGTCTTCGCTTTCGAGCCAATTCTGAAGAGCCTACAGCAGACAAAATTTCTCCCCTTGTCATCCGAGCTACTAATGTGGAAGAAGGGGAGCCCTCTATACGAAGCCAAAATACAAGCAGACCCCGTTGTACGCCAACTGAGGGTTGACCCTGGAAGCAATCTCAGGGATATCCTTGGAACGGCAAAGGATATTAAACTTGATCCTTCCCAAGCGGCATCCCTTGTTTCCGGATTGACTCAAAGTGTTTCGTTAATTCAAGGACCTCCAGGTAAGCTGCCCAAAGACAGACCATCTACTTTCTACTTTCTACTTTTCCTCGTTTGATCAGGTACCGGCAAATCTTTCATCGGTGCTCTTATCGCGAAGGCCATTCATGATCACACCCAACAAACGATTCTCGTTGTCTGTTACACAAATCATGCTTTGGATGATATTCTTACTGGATTGCTCGACATTGGCATCCCACAATCAAGCATGCTTCGGCTCGGAGGGAAATCTACTGCACGAACGGAACCTCTGACCATCTTTAACCAGCCTCGTGGACCTCCACGCACCAAGTCTGAATGGTCATACATCAACGGGCTGGAGGAACAACTCGAAGACTTGCGACGTGGTCTTGAAACCTCATTTAAGGAGTACAAGACATCCACTATCCGATTCGGCGACATTCTTGGTTATCTTGAATTTGACGATGATGACGATGAAAGTACTGCATATCTCGCGGCCTTCACCGTACCCAAACAAGAGGATGGGATGAATGTCGTTGGTCGGCGTGGAAAGACGGTAAAACCAGACTATCTAATTCAACGCTGGTCATTAGGGCAGAATGCTGGTGTCTTTGCAAGGCAAGTTACTACTACAAAAGACGGTGAAAGCATCTGGCAGCTTCCCTTACATGCTCGAAAAGCGAAGCTGGAACAATGGGAAGATGCGCTTTTGCAAGAATCCGTCGCCAACTTTGTCATGGATGCCTCAGAATACAATCGTTGCCAGACGAAACTTGAGCGAGCACGCGGCAATGACTTGACGAGCCTACTCCTGAGCAAGAGAATTGTTGGGTGCACGACAACGGCAGCGGCCAAGTATCGCAACGAGATACGAGCTTTCAATCCAGATGTTTTACTCGTCGAAGAGGCCGGAGAAATATTGGAAAGCCACGTCCTAACTTCACTCGGGCCACAGACATCCCAGATGATCCTCATCGGAGATCATAAGTAGGTTGCTTGCCTGTCCCACCTTGAACCTTCCTCACTGTTTGAACTTCGACTTATAGGCAACTTCGTCCGAAAGTCAATAACTACCAGTTAACTGTGGAGAAAGAAGAAGGATTTGACCTGAATCGTTCCCTTTTCGAACGACTGATCCTGAAGGATTATCCGCATACAAGTTTGTCACAGCAGCATCGCATGCGTCCTGAGATATCTGCACTCATTCGTCATTTGACATACCGGGAGCTCGTCGACGCACCAACGACGCAGAACCGTCCAAATATCAAAGGTGTTCAAGACAACATTGTGTTCCTGGACCATGACTGGCCTGAGGATGAAAACAAACAACTCGCTGATCGTAATGATATGGCCTCAACAACCTCGAAACAAAATTCATATGAAATCAGCATGATCCTCAAAATTGTCAAATACCTAGCACAGCAAGGCTATGGCACTGGTGAATTGGTCGTTTTGACTCCGTACCTTGGACAATTGCAGAAACTTCGCGAAGCTTTGAAAAAGGACAATGACCCTATTCTCAATGACCTGGACTCCCATGAATTGATTCAAGCAGGTATCATCCCTCAGTCCACTTCCAATCCTAATCGGAAAAATCCCATTCGACTCGCAACCATAGGTGAGGACTTCTTCATCCAAAAGATAACACACATTTTCACACTGCAGCTCTTTCTACTAGACAACTACCAGGGTGAAGAAAGCGACATTGTCATCGTCTCACTTACTAGGAGCAATCCTAGTTTTGACATTGGCTTTATGTTTTCTCCTGAACGCTTGAATGTCCTTCTGTCACGCGCTCGGAATGCCTTGATCATGCTCGGTAACTCCAAAACTTTTAGGAATGCCAGAAAAGGCAAAGAACTCTGGCAAACATTATTCAACTTACTGGGTGCTGGCAAGCATATGTATCGTGGGCTCCCTGTGAAATGTGAACATCACCCAGACAAGAAGACATCTCTTTCTCGTGTTGAAGAATTTGAAGAATTTTGCCCTGACGGAGGCTGCATGATTCCTTGGTATGGATTCCTTCACCTGTTTGTGCTTTGAGACATAAATCCATTGTCTATGAGTAGCGGTATCCAGCTTTCCTGCGGCCTGCACAATTGCCCTTCTAGATGCCATCGCCTGGGTGATCATTCGAAAATCAAGTGCGAGGAACGAAGAACATCTCGGTGTCCTGACGGTCACGGACAGAAATGGAGATGCTCAGACGGACCACCTCTGACCTGCCACAAATGCGAACGCTCTAAGAAGCTGGCGAAAGAGCAACAAGAGCGTGAGGCCGCTGCACAGGAGAGAAGGGATGCGGAGCAGAAAGCACATCTAGAGCAGATGGATTCCTTAAATGCTGCTATTGAGCAGGAGAATCGCCGACAACAAGATGAGCGACTGAGATCGGAAAGAGCCCACGTCCTTGAACAAAAGAGAAGGGATCTCGAAATCCTACAGGAATCAAGGGCTACCACTACCACTGCACCCTCAGCTGAGAGTTCTCATGCTGTGCCTTCGGGTAGTGGACAGCCAACATACGTCCCTCCCACCGGTCCCCAGTCTTCTATGGCAGCAGCCCCCTCCAGCAACCTGCAAAACCCAGATGGCTCAGGCTCTCCTTCGTCCCCTGCACCAACCCCTTCGAGCAGTGGGATTTTCGGCCTCGTTGATAAAATGAAAACTGCAGTTTCTTCTGCACTCAGTCCTGCTGCGGTTCCTCAGCCGCCACCACAAGCCTCCACTACTGCTGTAGCATCGGGAAAGCCCTTCAAAGATTTGCCTGAGTCAAAATCAAAGCTTGAATGGATCCGCCAAAAACAGATGGAGGGTGCTCAAAACGATGCGATTGACGCTATCATGGAGATGACAGGTCTCGAGGCCGTAAAAGAGCAGGTTCTTGCTGTTCAAGCCAAAATCAACGTCTCGTTGCGCCAGAATACTTCGCTGAAGCAGGAGAGATTCAATGTTGTCCTTCTCGGTAATCCGGGTACTGGTGCGTATTTTGCAAAGACTGACAGTCGTGTCTGTGTGAAACTGATAATACTTGAAATTTCAGGCAAGACCACGATAGCCCGTCACTATGCCAAATTTTTGGCCTCGGTAAAAGCCATACCTGGCAATGAGTTTGAAGAAAAGACTGGCGCGCAGTTGGCCCAAGAGGGCGTCGCAGAAACCCAAAAGCTCGTCGACAAGGTGACCAAGGCTGGAGGCGGCGCGATCTTCATCGATGAAGCCTATCAACTGACTAGCGGCAATAACCCGGGTGGTGCTGCAGTATTGGATTACCTTCTTGCCGAAATGGAGAATCGTGTCGGGACCTTGGTCTTCATTCTGGCAGGTTACAACCGCGAGATGGAAAAGTTCTTCGAACACAATCCTGGGCTCAAAAGTCGTGTGCCGTATGAATTCAACTTTGCTGATTACAAGGATGAAGAGCTGATGTCGATGCTGGAATCAATGGTCAACAAATTCTACAGCGGCAAGATGAAGGTCGAAGGAGGCGTCAAGGGGCTTTATGGTCGAATTGCCATTCGCCGGCTAGGGCGACGGCGAGGACATCCTGGTTTTGGCAATGCCCGGGATCTTCAGGGTGTTTTCAGCAAGATTCGCGAGCGACAGGCTGTTCGGATTACGAAAGAACGCAAGGAGGGCAAATTGACTGATGATTTCCTCCTGCTCAAAGACGACATTATCGGTCCTGATCTAAAGCAATCCTGGAGAGCGAGGC